TTTGATATGGAAATGAGTTTGATTTGCAAGACAATGACCATGCATGCAAAACTCATTAAAATATGAAAGGTTGTGAACCAAGACTCGTCTTGCAACAGCAGTAAGAGTAACTCGGAAATTGCGTATTGGCAATTTGTTTGTCGAGGTCTCTCCACCCTAACGTTTCAGTTATGTACAACCTAGGGTTCGTACCCAGAGTCTTCATTCCCCTTGACCAGCAATCGGTAAACGAGCGACCTTAGAAAGTTCCGCTTGGAAGGATTTGGATGTCCAAAAATATCGGACTTACGTCATTTTCATCGTTTTCAACCAAACAAAATGAAGCCTGTAACGGAACTCACGAGAGTCGCTCGTTTCGTCAAGCTTGAGCAGTAAGGAACGAAGATTGGCACTCACGACTTTTTGTTGAACGAGTTCCCTTGCGCATGCTCGTTCCTCGTTATTTCCGCTGACCAAAAATCCTCTTTGATCGCTGTCTGAATTGAGCTTAGCTCCGGACTCAATTTGTATTTCTTTTATTGAACTTCCGTTTTTTCCGATCACAAAACCCATCAAGTCTCTCGGAACAGCTATAACAGCTATCTTCAGTTGATCTGTTGAGTATTGCACATTTCAGTGAGCAGATCACATAAATATGATCATCAAGTTGAAGCTGAATTATTTAACAAAAACAATTTAATAAGATCAAACTGAGGCGTATACTGGATTTTTGGGAAGGGGGTTCGAGATACGGTCCCCTGTAGAGAGGTCGGGGGCCATCCTTCCCCGGTAAATTTTTAAAATTGAAGTCCTCGGAAATTGAATTTCCGGCATTCTTCATCCGAACCTCCCCTAGATCCGTCCAAAACAAATTAATAAGTACTTGCAAGAGATTGTAAATTCGCTTGATACTTGAAATCCCGACTCTATAAAAGATGAACCAGGAGTAAAGGCGACTTTACTTGAGAGATTTTACGATTCATCAGTATAGGTTTAGGATGACGTTTACGCTAAACGTTTGCCTTCTGGTTGCAGCTGTTTGCACAGTAGTCAGAGTGAAAATATTTGTATTTGCCATGAATTGTAGCAGACGTTTTGCTATTTATGTGTAATTTATTTACTGGAGTAGAAGAAAATTATGAGGAACACAAAATCAGAGGTATTTTTGTCCACTGCAATCTCATCATTTTTACAACCGTCTTTCGCGCTCTTTTGAGGTACAACTCTGTTGCAGAGAACTTTCGAAGAACTGCCTCCGGCGCGCCATGACGTTTTGTGAAGTCGATCACTTCAGAAATGGCATCTATGTAGCCTAAACGCCCACCATGTCCAAGCTTGCATTCGTCTTTTAAGTAGTCGATAAATTTGAACAACAAATTTGGAGAACACAAACTAAAGTCCACCACGTCAAAAGTAAACTCTTCCCAACAACAAAAACGTCTTCACAACAAAATCTAAGAAACTTAAAGCATCTTGTCACTATTTGTTGAGCTGCGCGATCTTTCTTGCAACCGCCACCACTTCCAGTCAACCATCTCGTGAATACTTCGCCAATGTCACACGACAATGAAAATGAGGGAAGTAACTTTCCGGCATGTTTTGTAGTCTCACTTGTTTGATCTTGAATTGTGTTCACCATTGGAACATTTCCTGCTACCTTTAGCGAATCTGTGATTTCTTTCCAATTGGGCTTTTCATCGAAACAAAAGAACCAACTGTGCTTGGTATTAACATGTTTTCTCCACCCTCTTTGACTTTGACATCCATCATGGTCACACTCTTGTATTGGGCAGTGATACAAGCTGTGGGTTTCATCCTTTTCCAAGTGAAGCCGTTTTGGTTTGGGTAATGCTCCCTCGA